ATCATTGATTATGCTATAGGTATTAATGAGACACATGTTTTTTTCCCCATAAAAATATCATCGTCGTTCTGCTCGTTCTATTACTCATCGTTCGAGCAGCTTGAAGGTTGCAAAATAGCGTGAATCGAAGGTAGAAAAAGTATGTACTATAACACTACTTTACTTGGTTTTTTTGCCATCGTTGCACAGCATCAACAAAATATTAGCATTTCACAAGCAATACTATACCGCTCAATAGCATGATCCTGGTTGAACCAAGTCTCAGATGTTCCTTCCGCATATGCAAGAAGATATTCATTTTTGATATTACTTCAAGAAGCTTTTCGTGTTTGTAGCCATGAATTTCACCAAAGATCGAGTACTGAATGCATTTCTGGGCTCAGTGCCAATATTAGTTCTCTTCTAGAATCATTCTTGGTCGCAGCATCGACCCGACTCTCAGTTTCAGTATATGTCTCGGTCACCATCAGCATTCACATCTTTCATCTCTTCGCCGTATATATCTTTGTTCCGATTACGATTGGTATTCCATCATGGTTCTCATTTATGCTGCACTCCAAATCGTCATCCTTCTACCAATCTCAATGGGCATTCAACTTCAGACGCGACTTACAGTCCATGTCACATAATTGGCTACATTATCGACTTCAGACCTAATCCCAAGAACTATCGTGCTGGCTGTGTGTAACACAAGCACCGCCAGGTCTCACTTATCGTGCAGGTTTCAGAGTAGGTTCTGTGATCTATTCAGATTTCGCCTCTGGTTCTGTATCTATTTCGGAGCTTTTCACAAATCGGTACTCATCTTTGTTTCAGCTGCGATTGAATTACTGGTCCCAGCTTGGATTTCAGCGTTCTACTAAATTCGGAGTTTCCTCGCCCATTGGTCAGTCTGAGAGAGCATGGTAAATTCCGCTTTTCAGGAAATTCAAAATTGGCTACATCTAAAGTGCAGGAGATTGCAATGAGCAGTATTAATGTGACAATGTCCAGAGCTAATTTTCATATATAGAGGCACATTGTATATGATTATATATAACTGTTCTGCCACTATTTCATTAAAAAAATGTGTATATAACAGACCTCTATTATTTATATTTTTATCGAACCATGACACGCATTTTTATATATACATAATATATGGTTTGATTTAGGGTTGGGCTTAGTCGGGTTGGGTTGATCGGGTTGGGTTGGGTTGGGTTGGGTTGGGTTGGGTCGGGTCGGATTGAGTCAAGTCAAGTCAAGTTAAGTAAAGTAAGAATATATATATATATATAATATATGATTGGATTTGGTGTTGGGTTAGGCCTTGAGGGTGAAGAGATGTTTTGATATGAAACGTGTATATAAACTTTTCTACACATATTTCATACCATAATGGGTTTCATTTTATGACCTGACCGAATCAAACCCAACCTGAAATTCAATCATATATTTTATATATACAGACAGATATATATTCATACTTGACCCAACCCAACCCAACCGAACCGAACCGAACCCCACCCAACCCGGCCCAACTCAACCCAACCGAACCCAACCCAACCCAACCCAACCCAACCCAACCGAACCCAAATCAACTCAATTCTAACTTAGACGTCAACTTCATTTATATATTCTTTTTTTAATTAGACGAGCTGTCTGTGATTATCCTTAAAAGCATTTGATTCAATTTCCATGAGATTTCTTCTATAATCACTTTATTTGAATTTCCTGGAAAACGGAATTTACCATCTTATGTAAATGATCGTATACGGAAAAATACGACCAAGTACATGGCTCAGTATTACGATCATAAACCTCCGTGTCGTATACGAAGTAATACGGCAATATACGGAGAAAAATACGGTCGTTTACGATTTTCGAATACGCAGTCCGTATACGGTAATCGTTTTATTCCGTATTTCTCCGTAAACGATCGTATCCCAACGTATACGGTCACGACGATATACGATCGTAATACTGAGCCATGTATTACGGTAAAATACGACCGCAAACGATCGTATCGAGGTCGTATACGGTAGTTTACAGTCGTATACGAAGTCCGTAATCGTCGACCTGGGCACTGTAAATAATGTTTTTTTTTCGTGAGCCATATTTTCGTTTATCTACTGTATCTGTTTATTTATTGTATCAACTTTTTTTAATCAAAATATTATCAACTTTTTCCCATCAAAATATCATCAACTTGTTTTTTATATTAAATTGCTATTCAATGAAAATAATTTTTTTGTTCATGAGCCATATTTTCGTTTAAGCGTTTCTTTTGTTTTAATATACATTTCTTCAATTGCTTTTACTTCTTCTGCACATTTTTTCACTTGTTCTGCAGCTTTTATTGCTTGCTCTGCAGCTTGTTTTGCTTCTTCTTCAGCTCTCTTTGCCAAGACTTCAGCTTGTTCAGGAGCTCGCTTCTTATTACTCATCCTACTTCGAAGTTATGATAATTCTAAAATGGATTAAAAATATGAAGTATATGGACAGTTTAAAAATACGATAAAGGAAATTTACCTTTGGTTTCTTCTTCCTTTTTTTCAAATTTTTTTTATGTTTTCTAATTCATGTGATAAATCAAATTTTAATTGTTTATTCAAGTCAATATAAACTTGACCGATTTTAATAGCAATCAAATCACTCGGATCATCTTCATTTGTTACTTTAAATCTATAGAAGAAAATCAATTTTAACGAAAGAATCAATATTAATTATACGCTGAAGATTTATGTTCATTTATATCAGTTTCTGATAAACCATACATTTCGACACAAAGATGTCCTGTATAATAATTTGTCCTACAACGTAAGAGAATAAGACATTTCGCTTTATTTTAAAATCTAGTTAAAACTTACGAAACGAATATAAATTTATTTTCGTCAGTCAGGTCAAGGAGAAATTCTTCATATTCATATTCATCTTCAAATTGAATAAATGCAACACCGAATGGTTCATTCAATATATCGGTTGGTACTTTAATATTTTTAATATTATAATCCGAAAATAAATTTGTTATTCGTTCGATCGTTAAATTTCTTGGTATGTTAGATATCTTGACAGAAGTCTGAAAGGAAATAATCAAAATTTAAAACATAACTATTCACAATCCTCACTTGAGAAACACGAATCTGCTCAAGAATTTCTTTTGTTTTTCCTTTTGTAAAACAAGCTGTTGCACTTTGTTTTGACCTAGAAAAGTGTTGATAAAACGATTTTAAAATAAATGCCTTTGTAAAATGTTTTTTTTTTATTTTTCCTTTCGTAAAGCCTGTTTTATGACTCACATTTTTTCTTGTTGAGTATGAATTTCTTCGATATTGTAGCAGCAATATAGAAGGTATGGGTGTGGATGTGTGGGTGTGGGTGTGTGGCTGTTCTTTGCTTGTTAGTTACGCCCACACCCACACTCACACCCCACCTATAGCCACAACCATACCCAACCACCCACCCACACCCTCCACGCTGGTGTCGCGGATGTTTTTTTTTGGTGATGCTCTCAGTAAATCGAATATAATCTCTTTACACAGAATTGAAGTTATGATAAAAAATTTCACACGAACATGCATAGTATTGTGTACAACGACACTGATGCGAATAGAAATATCCACACTCACAGGCAACGTTGTTCAAACGCTGGCTACTAGTTTTGTTCAGCACGTAATGCAGTATATAATACCGAAACAGTCAAATATTCAATCGATGGTGAAGAGAAGAGCCTCATCAACATATATACCCACACATTGCAGGCTCATTTGTGCGTTTGTTGCTTTCATTTGTTTAGTAACATGATACTCTCGTTTCAACAAAGTGCACCATCGCTTTGCAATAGACGATGAAGATTTGTCTGATTAAAAAAAATCTGTTTTTTTTTATCATTGTCATGATGATCTTTCAGTAAGATACTATGGATAATAATCAAACAATATTCAGGAAACGAAGATCGCCTAAAATTCGTCTTTTCTCATTGAATTGAAACTTAAATCTGATGAGACAATGCTATTATGGACATAAGGTCTTTTTTCTCAAAGCTTATAATGCATTTACATCCAAAAAGTCAATTTACCTTGGATTGAATCTTGCATTATTTATCTGCTGATTGATGTCATAGTTCGAGAAAAAAGTCAAATATTTAGTCTTCATCATTGGGTCCAATTTCGTTAACAATGACGAAAATACGAAGCATCTGCTTTATTCAAAGGCTTAATGAGATTCTTATAAAAGTCCGAAGTTTCATACGTGGTACCGTTGATTCTCAAATCACGAGCATTGCAATTTTTACTTGAACTAAGGACAATGTTTGTCGCATGGATCGTTCTACTCGCTTCACTCAGCAGTCTCATGAGCCAAAGCATGTTCGATCCGCCCTCATTTACACAGAATAGTTGTACGAACTACAATACATGGACATCTTGGTTTGATACATCTGATCCGAATTTATTGCAAGGTGAATTTGAAGCCACAAGTCATATTCAACAAGTATTTCCAAACTCCATGTGTCGTAACCCGATCGCCATCGAAGTAAATTCAATGTCACATACGCTTAAGTTTCTACTTTTGTGAAACATGATTGAAAATAACCGTTGAAGTATATAGATAGAATAGTGAGCAATCTACCCGTTCCGCTGTCACCAGCCTGTTCTACACACTGTGACAGACAAAACGATAGCCTATCTGAACCCCAAGCATGATATGATAGACGTAGGCAGGGCTGTCATTTTCGATTGAACAGTTCTATCATGGTTCATATTTTCATTCCGTAAGGATTACGTGCTAAAGGTTCTTTCTCTTCTAGGTTCGAACACTACATGATGGTGATCCAACAAAAACCGGTGACGTCTTGCAACTCACCAAAGCGGACGGTTTTTTGTGTTTGAATCAAATGGTCGTCAATTTCAAAACGAAATTGTGTGCTGATTACAAGGTTCGCTATTGTTGTCCCACAAACAGCATTGAAAAACCAACAGCAGCAACAATGCCACCCATGTTTTCTAAGGTAAAACCGACGACAAGAAATGCCTGTGGTCGTCAAGCAATTCATCCATCAAATCAACGCATTGTTGGTGGCGTCGAAGCCATTGCTCATTCTTGGCCGTGGATTGTTTCTTTGCAATCACGCGATCATTTCTGTGGTGGTACACTGATTGATAATCGGCATGTGCTCACGGCCGCACATTGCATAAGTTCGACAAATTTTCGAGTCATTGCTGGCTTACATAGACGAACCGATGTCAACGGACCACGTTCGCAAAATCGTCGTGTATTGCGCGTCTTCGTCCATGAACAATACAATTCAAGAACTGAAGCCAACGATATTGCATTGGTTCGTCTAGCGCAGCCAGTACAATTTAATAACTATGTCAGTGCAATCTGTTTACCCGGGCCTAATCCTCAAGAATCTCAACGTGTCACAGTGGCTGGCTGGGGTGTTCTATCATCAGGTGGAAATAGCGCTTCTTCACTCCGCCAGGTCTCTCTCTATGTGATGAATAATCAAGCACAAAAGGCTTATGGGAATAACTTCGATGTGCGACGACAGATCGGTGCCGGTATGCCGAACATTGGCGGAAAGGATAGTTGTCAAGGTGACAGTGGTGGTCCATTGATGTACAATGCAAATAATCAGTGGTACCTTTCTGGTGTGGTCAGTTTTGGATATGGTTGTGGTTTCGCAAAGTATCCTGGTGTTTACACTCGTACTAGTGCCTATCTCAAGTGGATTCAGACTAAAATTAATACTGCTTGATTGAAATCACAAACACTAATCGATACACAGAAATGGACTGAATTATGGATCTTTGCTTCATTAATCTCTGCTAAAAGTTTCTATTTGCTGATGTCGAATTGCTATTTTTTTGATGATCTGTCTTAAAATAGAAGAATTCGACATGAGGTAGCATACGAAAATCTAATTTTATAAATTCGTGTCACTTGACATGAAAAAAAAGACATGAAATCAAACAGTATTTGTCTTTTACCATCTTACTCACTCTAAATCAATCAGAGAAATAATAATTGGAGAATGTCATCGACTAAATCAATATAAGGCATTGCAGATTACTAATCCAGCACTATCGAAGGATCGACTTGTTTCTCATTATCAACAACTCTGTTCTTCAAATGGATTCGGATGTTCTAAATCGACAGAAGAAAAAGCAAATAACACCGAGCGATCAAGAAACAGCAATAGCTATTGACTCTATGTGTTAAAAGCTGATGGAACTAAGCAGCGACTCGGAATGACGGGTGTGAATCAGAGTGTAGATGAGTGTCGGTTTTGACGTTCGTCTTCTCTTTATCTACACGTATAGTCAGATCCACGTTCACAGGCGGCTTATCGATGCTTTTCGTCCGGTTTAAACCGCATGGATAATAAATAAACGTCATAAGCAGGCTTATGAATTTCGTTTCAGCAAAATTGAAAATGTATACCAATAATAATAGAGAGTTGAAAAGTAAAAGTGTCAAAAATCTTTCAGAGAAATTGCTATTATTTATAGTAACATATTCATTTATTCGTTTGAAACATATAAAGACCGAATTTCAGAATCGTTGCTATCCAAAAAAAATCTCACAGTTTAGGATTTCTCTTTCAAGTAAATAAAAAAGTTCTTCGTAACGACAAAAATGAATGTTGATTTTACAGAGCTTAGATCTAAATGTCAAATATACTAGTTTGTTTTATAATCGAAGATCATATGAACAATATTCTTCTGTTATAATGGATTGAATTATAACCATATCGTATCGTACCGACCGGACGAAAACCGTCGGTTAATTTCGATATTCGATCGGTCTATACCACATGGATATTCATTTTACTGTGAATGTCCAATGAATTATAAGAGTTCATCATTGAAGATTTGATTATAAGCAGATTCCTAGTTTTCCGTTTTCCAATATACATTCAAATTATGAAAATAATGATTTTGCAGCCATGAATGTTAAAATAATTTTAGCAATAGGAAATTCATGTATTGTTCCAATTGGATAATTTGTGCAGGTTGTATTATTCGATTTGGAAATTTGATAGATTTTGGTGTGCGTGTGGATGTGGGTTTGGGTGTGGGTATGTGGGTGTGGGTGTGGGTGGGTGTGGATGTCTGTGTGGGTGAGTGCGGGTGGGCTGTGGGTGTGGGTGGATGTGGGTGGGGTGTGGGTGCGGGTGTGGGTGTGAGTGTGAGTGTATCAGAGATAGGCAAGACAGGTTTTTTATATCCAAATCAAGTCAAGTCTCAAGTCAAGTCTTCTCTCGAGTCAAGTCTCAAGTTTTTGACTTAAATTGTTTTAAAATTTCCTAATTTTATCCTGTATCTATTTATTACAAAGCAAATTGTATTAGTCGTTCATAATATTACAATATGGCTAAGACTTTTAATGTCTTTCTTGACGTTTTTAGATCCATGATGCTCGAATGTCAGGCCCCTTTCAGAGAAAATTTTTTCTAAATGTGACGATACTGCGAAATCTGTCAGTAACTTCTTTGACAACGGATCCAATGTTTTATACTTAATCTACTGATTCATTAGGATCAATCTATCCGAATCTTTATCATTATCTTAAACTCTTATCGGTAGTTATTTAACTGCTAATAATATTGTTACATAGTTTATTTATTATTTGATAATGATTATTCACATGTACCATGAGGAAAAAATAGAGATTTTCTGTTGTACCTACGGCAAAAGATGCTGAATTTCATAGTACAAAAACAAAATAACTTCACATTTTGTGAACCTGATATTCGCTGGAGCTTCAGAAATTTGCTTGACTTGACTTGAGCTTTTTTTGCTCAGTCAGAAGTCAGGTCAAGTCAAAAAACTTTAAAGCCAAGTCAAGTCACAAGTCTTCTTGGTATTTTCCAAGTCAACCAAAACAAGTCAAAAATGACTTGACTTGCGCATCTCTGGAATGTATTATTTATTAGACACGCGCATCCACATGCACACGCATACGCACATTCCACCCCACACCCACACACTCCACACCCACCCACACTCTGTTCTCGTTAAAAAGTTTGTATGACGGTATATAAGTGATGACGTGTACTGTTTTTTTATTGATATGGTTAAAATAAAATTTGAATTGCATGAGAAAACTCATCTTGTGGTTAGGTCGACAAGCAGAAAAGAAAACCTCATAAATGGATAATACTTTGAAGACTGCCGCGACTGATTGTAATCAAACTCCGATCACAAGCACGATTATGAAAATTCGAAAGAACAGGTCGCGCGACTATTATGAATGTAACTCGGCGTGATCACGCCCATCTCTAGTGCATAAATGTAATCGAGGGGACTTTCCTTACCAACATCAACACCAATCTGAATCAATTATATCAGATCGAACCGATCAAAAGCTCGTATGACAGCGTCAGAAAATGTTTTCTCGCATTTCTACAATATTTATGAAGTTGTAGCATGAAATCATTTCGTATAGAATTAGACAGGGCATGATTTTCTACAACTAATCGAACTTTTGGTTCGTTTTGACAGACCATATCTATCATACTTCATAATATCATTGTTCGCATTAGTTAGATGAATATTCGAAAGTGAATATTATTGCCTTTTTCTTCCTAAAGTATAAGACATATTTGTTCCATTCGGTAAGATGACACCTCTTAAAGATCGAGCTTGAATAAGTTGTTCGAAAGTTACTGTTGCGTTCTCAAAATTACTCCCATCCAATATCGTATTGGTAAAATCAATGTTTCTCAAGTCTGCTCGTTTAAAAACACACTGCAAACATTTACCATTACGAAAATCGACATGGCGCATTAAAGTTTGTGTAAAATCACTTTTGATCACAGTGACTTGTAACATCTTGGCACCAATCGTATTGGCTTGAGTAAAATTGGATTCGAAGACTTCAGCTTGAATCAAGGAACAGTTCAAAAAGATGGCTCCCCAAAAATTACATTTATTAAAACGTGCACGGATCGCATTTGCGCGATGGAATTGTGCATCAACGAAAGAAGTATTGCTGAATGATGCATTATGTAGAACACTATCAGACAAGTTTGCTATAATGAAATCGGACACATAGTCAGTGCCATGTATTGGCTCAAACATGGAAGAGCTCA